ATGTGTCGGAGCAGCCTCAGCAGGTGAGCCTGGAGAAGCTTCCAGTTCTGCTCGGTAGCCCCGAGGCCAGAGACTGTCTGTCACAGCCCACAAACCGACCAGCCACGCCCCTGCCTGCCTGGCCCTGATAAAGAGATGGAGCCAAGAGGAGGCCCCTTGAAAGCGAGGGAACCCTGGATGTCAGGGGGCAAGCGGGCCCTTGCAGCCTCGGCCCCCTTGTGCCTTGAGGCTGACTGCGAGAGTAATTCGGTAACCCCCTTTGGTATATGCTGACCCTCCTGTTTTTCAAATCAGAGTAATTAGGACAACTGGCCTCAAAGACACATACCAGTTAGTCATATTCTTTCTTTATTTTTTTAAAGGATTTTTGTTTTATTTATTGGTAAGTCAGATATACAGAGAGGAGGAGAGACAGAGAGGAAGATCTCCCGTCTGATGAATCACTCCTCAAGTGAGCTCAACGGCCGATGCTATGCCAATCCAAAGCCAGGAGCCAGGAACTTCTTCCAGGTCTCCCACACGGGTGCAGGGTCCCAAAGCTTTGGGCCGTCCTCGACTGCTTTCCCAGGCCACAAGCAGGGAGCTGGATGGGAAGTGGAGCAGCTGGGATGTGAACTGGCTCCCATATGGGATCCCAGCGCTCAAGCTGAAGACTTTAGCTGCTAGGCCACGATGCCGGGCCCTAGTCATATTATTTAAGGCACTGTCTTATCTCTGGCTGCACCCTCCCTGACAGGCCCCACCTGACAAGTGGACTAGCTTACTGTCCCTCAGCAAGTGATAAACTCTTCCCCGCCTGTCTTGCTCTCATTAGTACCCATAACTGTACTGACTATAATAGCCAAAGGTGCTATGCCCAACCCCTCCCCAGTACTGCCTTTCTCAGTCAACATTTGCCTCTGAGTCTAGCAGACCTGGAGGTGAGGTGGCCCGCCCACACCATGTTCCCCTCTGCCCACCCAGGATCAGGGGAAGTGAGACTTGCAAGCCAGCTGCCAGCATGCCACGTCCCGGGTCCCAGACAGCACAGACTGTGCCGCTCTGAATGTCCTCGGCTCACGCTGCAGGACGCCCCCAGAGCAGTCATTCTCGGGGTGCAGGGCAGGACCCCTGCAAGACTCACCCTTTCACCAGCCCCACCAGTCTGGGGAAAGTTACTTGCATGTGTAACAGTGCAGGCGCTCTTTGATGTCTTCAAGGGCACTGAGAAAGCAGTGATGGGAAAGTGACAGGCACCTTGGTACCACCAGTGAGTGAAAGTTACCGGTTCAACCCTCGGAGACACGTGGCTTCTCGGCATGCTGTGGGACAAAGAAGCAACAGCGACATGGGCAAATGTGCTGCGTGACAAAATGCAATGAGTTTCCCTGGGAAAGACACTGAAGTGCCTAAGCTGCAAGTTTTCTTCTCACTGGGAAGGAGGTCCCACAAACTCACCAGTCAGACTTTGACATTTAGCAGAAATCACCCCCAAAATTATTTCAGTGCACTTGTCACCCCAAGAAAAACAACAACGACGGGTGTTGTGGTGCAGTGGGTCAAGCTGCTGCTTGAGACGCTCATTCCCCTTTCTGAGGTACTGGGTTTAGTCCCAGCTGCTGTACTTCCCTTCCAGCTTCCTGCTATGTACCTGGGTTGATGGCCTGCATGTTTGGATCCTTGCTGGCCCAGCCCCAACTGTTGTGACCATTAGGGCAGTGAACCAGCACTCTCTCTCTCACACACACACACAAATTAATAAGCCTTAGGGGAAAAAATTGTTGACAAAAAGAAAATTTAATCTTTTGTGTGGATGATAGGATTAAAAAACTTTTATCTGTTACTATGAATTTGATAGATCAATGGCAACAAAAAATTTTTCTGCTAAAAATGGCAGCGATGGGTCCAGCGTATTCCATATGGGCCCAGGTTCATGTTCCAGTGGCCTCAATTCCCACCTTGCCCCTTCCTGTGGCCTGGGAAAGCAGTAGAGGATGGTCCAAAGCCTTGGGACCCTGCACCCATTAGGGAGACCCGGAAGAGGCTCCTGGCTCTTGGTTTTGGGTTGGCTCAGCTTTGGCCGTTGCAGCCAGTTGGGGAGTGAACCAGAAGATGGAAGATCTTTCTTTCTGTAAATCTTTCCAATAAAATAAATAAGTAAATAATAAAATATACCCACTTCATTTGAAAAAATGGGAGCAATAAAAATGTTTTTTTGTGCCCGGCTTGGTGGTCTGGTGGCTAAAGCCCTCTCGCCTCCAGCACACCAGGATTCCATATGGGCGCTGGTTTTATGCTTAGATTTTTAAATTTCCCTTTGAAGGAGGCTAATAATCCTTTAGTCATTAGTCACAGGTCAACCTATAAATATTAAACTGTTTTCGGCTTAAGAGAGAGCCAGAGGGTTTGACTTCCAGTTACACCAGCATGCTTCATTGAACACTAACATTTGCCTCTGTTCCGTGACATTCTTGCAATGAAAACAGAAACGTGTAGGAGGGCAAAGAGAACGGGACAGGAAATAGCTGTAAAGTTAGCCGTCCCTTCATTGTTGAAGGAAGAGAGGCAGACAGGTGGATGCCTGATGGCTTAGTAACCGATCTAGTGGGAACAGGCTCTAACCAGATGTCTGCAAGATGGGGGCCGACAGCTGGAAGGAAGCTGACGCTCAGCTGGACCTCAAGGGGTTATGGTGAGAGTTATGATAAACTAAAACCTGCAAACTCCTAAGAACAGCGCATGGTGTCCAAGAAATGGTAACTAACTTTGTTCTCAGAGGAGAGGGGCCAGCAGGACTGCCAGGGGCCGAGATATGTAACAATCCAGAGAGCAGTAGGTCAGTGACAAAATGAAATCCATAAATAACAGAGGTTTCTGAATCCACAACCCAGAGGGGGCTTCCCAGGAGAGAAGCTAAGATTTTGGAGGCAGAAATGAGAACATTCAACAGAGGAACTAAAGAATACATCCAGTTCAGTACAATCTCTTGTGAAATAGAATAAACAAAAGCTAACAGGAGAGGAAAGATTAGAAAATACAGGGCACAAGAATATTTCTCCCAGGTGACGACAGTGTTTTCTGATAAAGGGACTGGCTGAGAGCTTAGTGAAACCAACAAAATACGTTGACAGGCAAAGCTGAGCCTCCTCAGCGGCTCAGACGGAGCAGTGGACAGCATACCCAGGTGGACATGGAGGACATGGCAGTCCATCGGAACCTGCAGAGGACACCTGGCACCACAACAGAGGACAGAACTGATCAGCCAACTCACCCCAGCCATGTGTTGGCAGTGAAAATCTGGGCAAACAGAGACTCTATGGCGAACTACATCAAACAATGGGCTCTGGAGAGATTTCATTGTGCCTGGAATGGTGAGACTGGCAGCGATTCAGACCTGTTGAACTTTCAAAACCACTTCAGCAGTATCCTTGGAGCATGCCCCACATCGGAGACCTGGGACAGGTGGGAGGCTGGGTGGGGCTTCTCCCTTTATCTCCCCCTTATCGCAGATACAGAAAAAAAATAAAAATAATGTGGAAACAATGGGCTTACCTACTTTCCTGTAGGCCTTGGCCCTTTGTGCCCTAATCAACTAGGCAATGATTTAAAAAAAAAAAAAAGTTGACAGGACACATGATTACAAAAGTCCAGAATATCAAGAATAAAGGGGAAACATTCCAGAAGCTTCCAGAAACAAATGAACAAGCACAAGAGTCTAGTCACATGTGGAGTTAGATGACCATGGGCCGATCCATACCTTTAAAGTTCTGAAGGAAGAAGGAGCTCCCACTTGGAAATCCGCCTGTCAAGTGGGAGAGTAAACAAGTGCGTTTTCCGAATAAGCAGAAACTCAAAACTTTACTTCCCATGAAGCTCTTCCGAGGAATCACTGGAGAAGGTTCCGATCCAATGTGGGAGAATAAACCAAGATCGAAACAAGATCCTAGGAGCAGGGGTTTGGCACAGGAAAGACAAGAGAGGATTCCCAGAGGGGTGTTAGGGGAATTCCTGGGGCAACAGCAGAGTCTGGGCTCTGGGGGTGGGGGGACAAGATCAAAAGCTCAATGCTAACTCACCTTTTGGGGTGATTACACCGAGAGATGTCTCGGTCCTGGTGGAGCCTTTCTGGAGATGCTGGCCTGTTGACACTCTAAGCATAATATCTCTCAGACACACACACAAACATAATGATTTTTTATTACTAATAACTCAATTAGTATTTTTATATAAAGTTTCTAAAACTAGGGCCCAGTGTGTTGGCTCCGTGGCTAAATCCTCACTTTGCATGCACAAGGATCCCAGATGGACACCAGTTCTTATGCAGTTGTTCCACTTCCCATCCAGCTCCCTGCTTGTGGCCTGGAAAGCATTAAAGGATGGTCCAAGGTCTTATGATTCTGCACCTGTGTGGGGGACGGGGAGAAAGCTCCTGGCTCCTGGCCTGACTGGAAAGACACATTTACACACAGAAGGTGATATAAAGAGAAAGATCTTCCGTCCATCTGGGGAGTGAATCAGCGGACAGAAGATCTTTCTCTCTGTCTCTCCTCCTCTCTGTATATCTGACTTTCCAATAAAAATGAATAAATCTTTTTAAATGAACAAATAAATAAATGTGAACTCTTCAGCCAATAAACCCAAGATACGTTGTTCTCATTAGGAACGCTTTCCTGTCCATTCGTGCTAGTTTAGCTGAAAAGCTGTTTAATCTAAATCCCGTCGATTCTGGGTGGAACCTCAACGTATTTCCACGTTCCTGCGGGAAAACAGGCCCGCCCCCGACCGCCCGGCCCCGCCCCCGACTGCCCGGCCCCGCCCCTGACCGCCCGCCCCCGCCCCCGCCCCCGACCGCCCCGGCCCCGCCCCGGCCCAGGCCCCGACCCACGGCCAACTAGGCCCCGCCTCCGTCCGCCCGGCCCCGCCCCCACCGGGCGGTGCGGGCTCCTCTTTGCGCACGCGCAGTGGCTCCTGAGGGCGGGCCGCGTGGCGCCTGGAGCGCGCGCGCGGCTCCTCCCCGTGGCGCGCGGCCCCGCCCCGGCCCTGCCCAGCCGGAGGGGCGGTGGGCTCGGCCTCCAGGACCCGCAGCCGGGGAACAACGAGGCACCGTCCCGCGTGGGGTCTCGCCGCGAGCCCGGGTAGGAGCCGGCACCCACCGGGCTCATTAGCCGCCATGTGGCCCCAGGGGAGCGGGGCGGACGGGAGAGGATGGGTCCCCTGGGGGCCGGCCGGCCGAGGCGGGCGCTGGAAGCGGGCGGGGGGCCGTGGGGCCCTGGCTGGAGGGCCGGGTGGCCGGAGCGGGGATGCGGTCCGGTCTCCCCCGCGCCGGCCGGGGGCGGAGGATGGGAAGCCCTGGCCCGGAGGCCGGAAACGGCTCACTCCAGGCCTCAGTGTCCGAATTGTAACCGGCCCTCAGGGGGCGCGGCGCGCTCCGGTGTGTGGAACGCCTGCCCGTGGGGGTCCCGTGGGGTGACCCCCACACACAGCCCGCTGGGGACTGCTGTCCGGTGTCCTGCAGCCCGCCAGCCGAGGCCCGGAGAGGGGAGGGCACTTGCTGAGCCCTTGGTCCTTCGCCTGACCTGTCAAAGGAAGGGGCCGAGAGATAGTCCCTTTGTATAACGGCCTGCCTCCCGTCTATAGCATCCAGGGCAGGGCTGCCTGATACAGACGCCAAGCCATGGACCCACCCGCGCGTAAAGAAAAATCCAAAGTTAAAGAGCCCGTGAGCAGAGTGGAGAAGGCTAAGCAGAAATCAGCGCAGCAGGAGCTGAAGCAGCGGCAGAGAGCAGAGGTGAGCGAGGGGCGGGCTGCTGGGGGGTTGCGATGGGAGGCCGGTAGTGGTGCTCAACCAGGTGGAGCCAGGGGTACGTGGGTAGAGGTGGGTGCCCGAACCCCACCAATCACAGGCCCGCGGAGGGCTCATGGCCCAGATCTTTAGTGGTTGGAAGTGAGGGGATGGGAGGGGAAGGGTCAGAGCCTCTCGCCCCACCCCAGCACAGGTACAGAAAGTGGCTTCTGAAAACCAGCTAAAGGCCCAAGCTTTAAAACCACCAGCTTACGCTATTCCTTTGTTCTCTCAGCACTTAAAATCAAAGAATCCAAAGCTGTGAACTGCTGATACTGCTGATGTTGAACCCTATCCAGACCTATGTTTTCTTACTTTTTGAAACAGATTTCTTTTTTCACTTGAAAGAGTTATAGGGAGGGGGGAAGGGATAGATCTTCCACCTGTTGGTTCAGTTCCTGAATGGCTACAATGATCGATCCAAAATCGGGAGCTTCTTTTGGGTCTCCCACATGAATGCAAGGACCCAAGAACTGGAGCCATCTTCCTCTGCATTCCCAGGTCATAAGCAGGGAACCGGATCAGAAGTGGAGCAGCCAGGACTAGAACCAGTGCCATATGGGATGCCAGTGCTGCAAGCAGAGGTTTAGCTTGCTAGGCTAACACGTTGGCCCCAAGTGTTTTATTTTTGTGTCTAAGTATTGGGGCAGGGGGTAGCTTGCTGGTCTTATTCTTTTTATTTTGAAGTTGTTTTTTTTAAGGGGGAAATTTGTAAAAAAAAAAAAAAAAAAATAGTTTATTTGAAAGGCAGAGAAAATTGGTGATTACCCATTTGCTGGTCTCTACTCCTTAAATGCTCGCAACAGCAAAGCTGGACCAGGCTGCAGCAGGAGCCCGAAATTCTGTGTGGGCAGGAGAGAGTCAAGTCCCTGCCGCCTCCTGGGGTGAGTCAGCGGGAACTGAAATGGCCCACCACGCCAGGCCTGAGCACCGGGCCCGGGCATCCTAACTGCTGCCCCAGACGGCCACCAGGAGTTTGAATGTAGAAAAAAAAATAAGCTACTGTTAGAGACGCCTGAGTACGCAGTCCCCTGGGTAGGTAGTGGTGAGCATTTTGAAAATGTTTATTTTCATTTACTTGAAAGGCGTATTTATAGAAAGATTTTCTGCCTATTGGCTTATTTCCCTCGGTGGCCACAAAAGCCAGAGCTGGAACAAGCCAAAGCCAGGAGCCAGGAGTTTCATCTGAGTCTCCCACCTGGTGGCAAGGGCCCAAGCCCTCGGGCCATCCCCTGCTGCTCTTCTGGGCACATTAGCAGGGAGCTGGGTTGGAAGTGGAGCAGCTGGGACTCAAACCTGTGCCTGTATGGGACGCTGACACTGCATCCAGCCCCAGTGAGAAGCAGTTGGTCATATTTGCCTAGTCTTTTTAAAATAGGAAAATTAAAATACATTTAATTTGAAGTCCTTCTGACCATTTCCTGTCTTATATCTTTTTTTTTAAAGATTTATTTTTATTATTATTATTATTTTTTTTATTGAAAGGAGGATATACAGAGAGGAGAGACAGAGAGGAAGATCTTTCCTCCGATGATTCACTCCCCAAGTGAGCGCAACGGCCGATGCTATGCCGATCCGAAGCCAGGAGCCTCTTCCGGGTCTCCCATGCGGGTGCAGGGTCCCAAAGCTTTGGGCCGTCCTCCACTGCTTTCCCAGGCCACAGGCAGGGAGCTGGAAGGGAAGCGGGGCTGTCGGGATTAGAACCGGCGCCCATATGGGATTCTGGGTGTGCAAGGCGAAGACCTTAACCACTGCGCCACCGCGCCGGGCCCTTATATCCTTTTTTATATGGAGGACCCTATGAGCTGCAACTGTCTTTTCTACATTTATATATATTTAATATTTATTTGAAAGTCAAAGTCACACAGAGAGGAAGAGAGGCCTTCCATCCACTGGTTCGCTCCCCAAATAGCTGCAGTAGCTGGAGCTGAGCCCATTCGAAGCCAGGAGTTTTCTCCATCTCTCCCACATGAAAGGACTTGAGCTGCCCTCTGCTGCTGCTTTCGCAGGCTCATTGGCAGGGAGCTGGATCAGAAGCAGAGCAGCTTGAACTGGTATCCATATTGGATGCCAGCATCTCAGTGAATGGCTTAAGACACTATACCACAACACTGGCTCCAATGAGCTGCCACTATTTTTATATGTTTACATTCAAATACATTAAAAGATGTCATGGAATGAAATATAATACTCCTTTGTGTGAAATTCCATACATTTTATTACATCCTGGGTTTTTTTTTTTTTAAGATTTATTTTTATTATTTTTTTTTATTGGAAAGGCAGATATACAGAGAGGAGAGACAGAGAGGAAGATCTTCCCTCCGATGATTCACTCCCCAAGTGAGCGCAACGGCCGATGCTATGCCGATCCGAAGCCAGGATACTTCTTCTGGGTCTCCCACGCGGGTGCAGGGTCTCGAAGCTTTGGGCCATCCTTGACTGCTTTCCCAGGCCACAGGCAGGGAGCTAGAAGGGAAGCAGGGCTGCCGGGATAGAACCGGCGCCCATATGGGATCCCGGGTGTGCAAGGCGAGGACCTTAACCACTGCGCCACCGCGCCGGGCCCTACATCCTGTTTTTTAGAGCTCACATTAATATAAATATCTACTTGATTCTTGTCACTGTTAATGAGGATCTGTTTTCCAGGTTCACTTTCTTCCTCCAGGCACGCATATGAACTATTTCGAGATTTTTTGCTATTACAAACACTGTTCATAAGGAAAATCCACCCCATGGTGGATTCTTCCATCTTGTTGCATTACCACAGGTGAAATTCAGTTGAGATTTTTCCTTGTAAGCATCTACAAAGCATAGAGTCCAGCATCTTATTGTGCGGATAAGTTCAACAGTTTCATGGGGAGACAGTCTCTGGTCTGAAGGTACAGCCGAAAGAGTATCATCCCAATCAATTGAAAGCCCCGACATTACATCAGTAACAATTTATAACGTAATGGAATTAGTTGACATGGTATTGTGTAACCAGCATGTTCAAAGAGAGAGAGAGAGAAAACAACAACAACAAAAAGAGTACAAGTTCTGAACCACATCCTATGACCTCTACATTGACACTTCAATTATTAGTTTATATACAACCAGGTTCTATAGACCTTAAAATGGCTATAGATTACTATTCAGCTGTCTCATGTCTATTTTAATTTTAGTATTTAGCAGTTCATAGTGTTGAAGCATGATTTTGCAGAACCTGGCTGTTTTTCGGGTAGTCTAGCTCTATAACTATAACAAGACATATGTCAGCACCTTAGGTGAACAGTTTTAGGAGGGGTGTGCAGAGAAATCCTCAATACCCTAGTGAGGAGCAACCAATCTTCGTGTCCCACCCAGTGAGTTATAAGTGCATCCCCACTGCCCATTTCCTGTTTCTAAGCTTTCCTTGCTGTTCTCCATCTATTCTAGGTTTTTTGTTTGTTTATTTGTTGGTTTGTTTTGAGGGGTTTCTGGAGCGATCCTGATGGTCATTATGAGAGAGGGTGGGGACCCAAAGTCAGCACCAGGCAAGAACCAGAGAAAGCTCCTCTCCCTAGTCCCGAAGGAAGTTTACTGTTTTGTTTCTGCAGGAAAAGCCTTTGAATGTGTTCTTGGGCACCTGTGCTGGAATTCCTGTCGGGAGTCACTAGGTCTGTTTTCAGTTTTGCTAGATCTTGCCAGCTTTCTTACAAAGGGATGGTGCAAGTTGGTTCCTCCACTGGCAGTACGAGGATCTCACACCCCGCTTCTTTGCTAATGTTGGCAGTGTCAGACTTCTAATTTCAGTTCACCCGATCCGTTCATGAAACAACTGTGCTGTGACCATTTGCCAGGCACTGTCCTGGGAGCTGGAGGCGTGCGCTGGTGAAGCCAGGAAGAGGTCAGGCATTGGTGGAGCTGGTTCACGGTTCCTTGCTGTGCTGTCGTGTGGGTTTGGCGCTCCGGCTGCATTTGGCTCTCCTCTCGGCATGTGCGCACGCACAAGCACGTGCAGTCCACACACCCGGCCTTTGAGCAGGTGTCCTCACCCGCACTTTCACTTAGTACATCCTTCTGGAATAAGGCCCGGATACAGGTAGTCTAGAAGCCTAGAGAGGGGAGATTGCCCTTGCTCTAGGGTGAAGTGATGTGATTAGAGACCCCCAGTTAAGGGAGGGAGGCCTGTGCCTTCCGATCCTCTGCTCTGTGCTCGGCCCTACCGTCCCCTCGCTGGGTGCTTAGCTGCCTGCTGCCTAGAATGCAGTCTCCAAAAACAGGAATGTGGCAAGACCCCTAGAGTGGACGGGGCGGAGGCGCAGCTTGCATTCAGTTCTGCAAAGACGCCGCTGCAGAAAGGCAGCCTTGAGGAGGGCGCAGGTGGCCGTGGAGGTGACACTGACACTAACCTGGCCCTTTGCAAATGCGCCACCTGTCTTCCCACCTCGCCCAACACTGGGGATCGTTTTGTTTCTTCTATTCCCTTGCATTTGGTCTCCTCGTTTCTGCCATCCTGCCTTCCTGAGGAGGTGTCCACAGAGCCTGTAACAGCCCTCTGTCCCAGGCGCTGTTGTCGTGCAGAAGGCACAACTATGCATTCAACAGCAGTCGAATAAATGAGGCAGAGGTTGTTAAAAACATACACGAGGAGTCTTCAGAAAGTTCTTGAAAAATGCAGAATGTGAAAAATGACACAGGGATTTCACAAATGTTTTACACCAAAATAAACATCTTTTAATTTCACTCTTCCATGAACTTTTCAATCCCCATTGATATATGTTAAAAATAAGCAGCATATGTTCATATAAATATATATCTCTGTGTGATGAATGTGCAACTTAGAGAAGAAGTAGAAAACCAATATTCTGGGCCCGGTGTGATAGCCTAGCAGCTAAAGTCCTCGCCTTGAAAGCGCCGGGATCCCATAAGGGTGCCAGTTCTAATCCTGGCAGCTCCACTTCCCATCCAGCTCCCTGCTTGTGGCCTGGGAAAGCAGTTGAGGACAGCCCAAAGACTTAGGTTTCTGCACCTACGTGGGAGACCTGGAGGAAGCTCCTGGCTCCTGGCTTCAGATTGGCTCAGCACCAGCTGTTGCGGTCAGTTGGGGAGTGAATCACTGGATGAAAGATCTTCCTTTCTGTCTTTCTTCCTCTCTGTATATCTGACTGTCCAGTAAAAATAAATCTAAAAAAAAAAAAAAAAAAAAAAAACCAGAAAAGCAATACTCATGAATTCACTGTCTAGCTAAACAACTGGAACACGCTCTGTAACTTGGACTCTGTAGCCCCATTCTGGGCGCAAGCCAGCCCCTCCGTGTAGCAGTGCCCACTTTTCCTCATGTCACAACAGCCATTCCTTCACTGTTCTCTGTTAGTTTAGTGCCTTGGTACATGTGTCCTCAAATAACATTTTGTAGTGTGGCCGTACATTACCCGGTTAGCCTCTTCTGAACACTTATGTTATAGAACTGTGTTTTGAGACTGGCTCTCTTCACTCAGAATTTTATAACCCTTCAAATTTTATTTCTATGGTGATAATATATTCATAACATACAATGTGCCAATTTTACCATTGGCAGCATCTTTTTTGAGGCTCTTTTTTGGGGGTGTTTATGACTGTTTTTATCAGTGAATTTCTGTTTTCCCTATAGAATCATTCAAGCTTTCCAGCCACTTGATCACCTTATTTTTCCTAGGAATTTGCGTCATTGAAGTTTTTGAATGCCTTGGCCGAAAGTTGAGCAGGTCTTGTTCTGGTCTCCTACCATGGCAATGGTTGTTATGTCTTCTTCCTGCGTCTTAGTAATGCTTGTCTGTACCAACTGCCCTTCTCAGGACTGTCGTAACAGATACCTCCTGTGCGTCCTGCAGTCTCTCCTCTGCACTCAATTGCTCACACAGCTGCACAGCGAGGATCAAGGTGCTTTTTTGCACAGTTGCCTTCGTTGGTTGTCCAATAAATGCCAGAGTCCTTGGCACAGCATCGGAGGCCCCAGTGCAGTTCTCTTACTTTCTTCAGCTCCCCAGTCTCCCTGCCATCATATCTTTCTTATAGTAAACTGGCAGTTTCCAGAACTGGTCTTATACTTTTCTATTATATTTATGTACATATAATCCCCTCCCCTCATCACCTATCATGTGCCATACCCAGTCCCTGCCTGTTCAAATCCTCCTGGTGCCTTACATACTCAGTCAGGGTACCTGCCTCACTGATTGTCAGGAGCCGTGTACTGTAGCCACACTGAAGCCATTTTGAATATAGAACTATGGGCCAGTGGAAAATTCCTGGCTGGCTAGATGCTTGGGAAAGAAGTTATGAAACTAATCACACGCTTAGTTTCAATTGTTTGTAGCAAGTGTTTTAGAATGTGATTTATGCTGTACCTGCCGACATCTTGTTATTGATTACCTATGCTAATTGTTAATATGCTGGTTACTATTGTGGATATGGTAGCTGCTCAAGAACAATTGGTTTGGAGACCATGGCTTGTGTCCCAGTTTCTCCTTTCCTCCCTGAGCCTTAGTTACTGAAGAGTATAAAAACCCTCAATTAAAATCAATAAATGGACAGCTTGATCAGACATCCTGTCTTGCTGTCCATTGTCCGTGTCTCTTGTCCCCTAATCTCTCCTAGGTGGTTGCGACCCCCGTTGACTGTCCTGCTGGATGAGACAACTGATGCCTTCCGGATCGCCCAGTTGGGGTTACTACCTGCCTCTCACGGCCCCCTTCTGCCCGCATCACCCTTGCTGGCATGGTGTGTCTGAAGACGTGGGGAGCAGCTGCTCTGTTGCTCACAGATGTGCTTCTCCCTTTCAGATCTATGCCCTCAACAGAGTCATGACCGAACTGGAGCAGCAGCAGTTCGATGAGTTCTGCAAACAGATGCAGCCTCCTGGAGAGTGAGTGGGCTCCACACTGAAGGGAGCTGGAGCCTGGCGGGGGCGCTGCGTGTGAGCCCATCCCCTTGGAGCTGGCCTGCCCTTGGAGCCTTACAGAACTACACCGGAACACCCCCATGGAGAAACCTGTCTTATTGCCTGTGTGTAGCTTCCACGGCACTGGTTCCTCCCAGCTCAGCGGCCCAGTGTTGGCCGAAGAGACTTGTTTTCATCTTCTAAGATGATAGATTCCTTTTTTAAAGAAAAGAAAAAAAAATCCCTTTTTCTATTGTTTAAGAAAAATCAGTGTTTCTTGTGTGTGCATCTTCTCCAAAAATGCCAATAAAATGTTACTGGTTTAGCTGCGCCTCCTTTGCCTGGGAAAGTGAAGCAAGAATGTCACAGGTAAGGAAGGCAGAGCTGGGCTGCAGCCGCCCACCCCCACCCACCCCCGCCCCCCAGGAGTCAGGGGAGGGAAGATAAAGAACAGGCCCACTTGCATTTGCTCGCTCTTCCCACAAGAGCAGTGTTTGCTCTGACTCCAGGCCAGCCGCTGCTTAGGGGCGCTAGCCTGAGGCTCTGGTTTCTGGGCTGTGCTGGAGGAGCTAAGGACTGGCAGGCTAGACCCTTGCATTGTTGGCCTGGAAGCAGCTGTGATAGGATTGTTCTGGACCCCAGAAAGCAGTCTCTCCCCATCCTACTGCTATTTTGAAGTATAACATGTAAGGTAGTGCTTCGGCAAAGGGAATTGTTTCCAGGGTGTTTCATTTGCAGATACTCCCTGGGAGTGCGGGGTGCAAGGATTCCAAGGACCTGAGTGAAGAGGCTGTTGTGGCACTGTGGGTGAAGCCACTGCCTGCCACCAGCAGCCCATTTGGGCGCAGGCTTGTATCCTGGATGCTCCACTTTGATCCAGCTGCCTTTTAGTGCACCTAGGAAAGCAGCGAAGGCCCCACTGCTCAGGTTCTTGACATCCACATCCACATGGGAGAAGCTTCCGGCTCATGGCTTTGGCTGTTCAGCTCCTGGCCCAGCTGGCGTGACCACCTGGGGGAGTGAGCCAGCAAATGGAAGATCTCTGCAGCAGCTCGTGCTGGGTAAACAGCTAAACACTGCCATCTTGTAATCTTACTGTCACTTGGAAATGCCCCGTTTTCCCTTGCAGTGCTGGGAATGTATCAATTGACCACATATCTGTCTCACTGCCGGTTCCTATCCTGGCTGCCCCACTTTCAATCCAGTTCCCCTGCTAATGTCAAGGACACAGAGTCTCACTTTTCCCACTTAAGTAAGGGTGCTGTTTTCCTACTCTCAGGATCATTATAAAATCTTAAAAATCCCAGTTGACTTCCAGATTGTTTACAGGAAAATCATCAAATTTCAAATAATCAAGCAGTAATGCAGGTGGGGACCACCTGCCCTAACACAGCCCAGCCTTGGGGATCTTGTGTGGGATGGAAGATGGTCCTCTGTCCTTTTCTCTGTAACTGCCTTTCAAACAAAAATACTTTTTTTTTTTTTTTTGAGTTGTAACAAGATGCTTGAACTATGACGGGAATGGGCCATCTTTTTAATTCATCCATTCATGTTACTCATTTGAAAGAGAGAAGTTTCCTCTGCTAGTTTGCTCCCCAACAGCCAGGGTAGACCGGGCCCCAGGCAGGGCCAGGGAAACTCGGATGCCTACACCATCACCTGCCGTCTGCACACATGTATTAGGTACATTTTTTCCCCAGAATAATAATTTAGTGAGGAAAAGCAGCATTCACAATGTGTCAAATCTCTTTACTATCCAGCTTATTTGAAGGCAGCTGGGTTTTCATATTGATACATAGTAAGAAAAGAGGAGTAAAACAGCCTTCTTAGATCATTGTCCCTAGCTTTTGATACTACTCCAAAAGTCAGCAAATGGCAATTCCTCAAAGGGTAGTTACATCCCATACATAAACTGAAGGGGGCGGGAAGGAGCAGGTGTTGTGGCACAAGTAATGACAGCATCCCTTACCTAACACCTGGGTTCAGGTTCCCCATAGCTCTTTCTGCTTCCTGCTAATGCACACCCTTGGAGGTGGCAGGTGACGCCTCAAATAACTGAGTCCCTTCCACCTTACAAAAGCAACCCAGATGAAGCTTCAGGTTCCTGGTTTCTGCCAGCCCTGCCCCAGCTATTACAGGCATTTGTGAAGGATTCAACTGGTAGAAAGCTCTCTTTCTTTCTACCATTCTAGCTTTTAAATAAACAAAACAAGAAACTTTAAAATAAATAAAAGCTTCTCTTGAAAAGTAAAATCTTGGGCTGAGTGGCTAAATCCTCAACCTTGCACACGGCGGCATCCCATATGGACTCCAGTTTGTGTCCTGGTTGCTCCACTTCCCTTCCAGCTCCCTGCTTATGGCCTGGGAAGCAGTATAGGACAGCCCAAAGCCTTGGGACCCTGCACCTGTGCCGGAGACCCGGAAGGAGCTCCTGGCTCATGGCTTTTGATTGCTTCAGCTCCAGCCATTGACACTACTTGGAGAGTGAACCAGCAGATGGAAGATCTTTATCAGTCTCTCCTCTCTGTAAATCTGCCTTTCCAATAAAAATAAATAAATCTTGAAAGAAAGAAAAAGGCCCTTGTCCCACAGATGTAGATGATCTCAAAACAAAGCCAAAGGCAGATGCTTCAAACTGTAAAAATACAAAACTGTTAAGTTACAGATTCCCACACACATCCACAAAGGGCAACGTGACTGTCCTGCAGCTGGCTCTGCTCGAAGAGCAGGAAGTACTCTTGGAAGCCCTCTTCCCCACTCAGGAAAACTGATCCAGCAGGGACGAGGCAGAGCAGTAATGATGGTCCAGCTGCTAACCCAGGGATAAACACAGGACACAAGTGCACCCAGCCAGGACTGGGGCCTAGACTCACATCCAGTCCCAATCTAGGTGGGGCGGGAGTGGCACCTGATCTGTGTGATATGTATGGCCTTGGTCCTAGGGCAGTTAGACTGAGTGGAAGGAAGGAAGCCAAAGCCACTGCCCACCACGGCACGGCAGGCTGTTCTTGTTCAAGGCTGCTGAGAGATCAGGCGTGCAGCATGTGACAACAGAGGCACAAGAAATGCTTTAGTGAGGCTAAAGCAGGGCGGTCCATCGATGTGCTGGCAGGGCGCCCAGCAGGGCTGGTGGAGCTGGCGGACTGCAGGGCTCCCTAGGGTCATAGCCTGAAGCAGATGGCCTTGCCCCACAGGGCATCTGGAAAGAAAATGTAGGAGAGCGACCACAGGAGGCAGTAAAAAGCAGTGAGTGAGAACGGGGAGAAAAACAGCAGGATGACACCTGGAAGAAAAAAAAAGAGAGAGAACCTAAATTCCTCTAAAGCTGTGAGAAGGTGCCCTTGCTGGGTACCCCCATCCCCACTACCCCAAGAAACTGGATCATCTGAGTGTAGTGTAGTGCATTCTCAGGCTCCACTTGATTCAATTCAGATCAAAAAGTCAGCCCTGGCCAACAAGAAACAGCCTAGATCCCTGATTAGAAAGACAGCAATCTTCTAATGGTTTTAAGGTTCCCATGGGCTTGTTAACACAGCCAGCTGGAGCCTGAGATGGCTTGCTCATAACCTTGGCCCTTCGCTGACACCTAGCAATGTGGAGCCCAGAGTCCCATACACCTGTGCCTGCCCCGAGCGGCTCACCATGCCTGGACCACGTGCGCTCTGTGCTGAGTGCCTGCTTGCCTTCAGGGAGCCCAGAGTTGACACAAGCAATGCAGAGAGTGTCAATATGACTAGCTCCTGATGGAAACCTTGCGTGCTGGCCCTGTGACAAACTACAATGCACATATGTGATCTCAATTTACACTTCACACATATGATCACAGTTCTGACCTGGAGGAGCTTCATGCACTCCTGTGTGACTTCCTGGGACAGGACCCTGAACCTTGCACTGTCCTCCGAATTTCACCTAAGTTCTGTTTCCCTCAGCAGAGTTTACTGGAACTTGATCTTATCCATGGAATCAACAATCGGAGCCCTGTGTGTCCTCACAGTAAATCACCAAACCCATGCCAGGGAGTAGCAGGGGTGGGGAGATTTGGGAGACTCCTCCTTCACCCCCAATTTGACTCTGATTCACCAGCAAAAAGCACAAGACAAGTCTGGGATATCCACACTAGGCCTTCTAGGAACTATAAACAAACAGCTTCATTTACATCTCACAATCCTGTGATTGAGACACAAACCTGTCTTTGGGGCCAAGGAACAGGAAGTACCCTTGGCCACCTCGTGTCTGACATTGACACTATCTCACAGAGCTCACAATCAGGGTATTTCCAAGGGAATGACCACCACTATGAGACTCAGAACACAGGATCTACCAGAGGACCACTCAAGAGGTATGCAGTTGATTGAGGATATGGATTGGAGAAGTCGGTGACCTACAGAGGCAGGGGTGATATTTAAAACCCCAAGGAAGTGGGCCTGGCATGACAGCGTAGTGATTAAAGTCTTCACCTTGAACGTGCCAGGATCCCACATGGGCACTGGTTCTAATCCCAGCACCCCTGCTTCCCATCCAGCTCCCTGCTTGCAGCCTAGGAAAGCACTTGAGGATGGCCCAAAGTCTTGGGACCGTGCACCCACGTGAAAACCTGGAAGAAGCTCAATTCCAGCCATTGTGGCCACTTGGGGAGTGAAACAATGGACAGAAGATCTTCCTCTTTGTCTCCTCCTCTCTGTATATTTGACTTTGCAATAAAAATAAATAAATCTGGGCCCGGCGCGGTGGCGCAAGTGGTTAAGGCCCTCGCCTTGCACGCCCTGGATCCCATATGGGCGCCAGTTCTATCCCGGCAGCCCCGCTTCCCTTCCAGCTCCCTGCCTGTGGCCTGGGAAAGCAGTCGAGGACAGCCCAAGGCTTTGGGACCCTGCACCCGTGTGGGAGACCCGGAAGAGGTTCCTGACTTCGGACCGGCATAGCATCGGCCATTGCGCTCACTTGGGGAGTGAATCATCGGACGGAAGATCTTCCTCTCTGTCTCTCCTCTCTGTATATCCGCCTTTCCAATACAAAAATAATAAAAATAAATCTTTGAAAAATAAATAAATAAATAAATAAATCTTAAAAAAAAAAACTGGCAAGTACCTGACAGGAGAGCTCAGCTCCATGCAACTCTTGGAGGAAAGGGACCCCTGGGTCTAAACAGGTGAGTGGCTCACTCCACGGAAAAGGAGTGTCAACAGCAGATGTTTTGGAAGCTACCCAGTGGGACTGGTGTAAAAGTTGATGCTGTCAATTACTCCACGCATGGGAGACCAAGGCCACGTGCCGAGTTCATTTGGAGAAGAGGGGATCAGGAGTGCCCACAGCACCAAAGATCGC